TGAATTTAACCACACATAGGGATTTAACCTTAAGAATAGGGATTTAACCATGAACAAATAGGGAATTAACCGTCAAAAAATGTAAAGCAATAGTAAATTTACACACCACTTCGAGAATTCGAGAATTTCTATTGATGCCGTGGTGACGACATTAAATTTACTCATATGAATCTCATATGTATGTGTATATATATATATATACATACATATATTATTATATATATATAACCTTATAACTATATTATGGAGACATTAATACATACAGTCATATAGTTCATATCTGCATGATCGAAACAAGGACAAATAAATGCTGATTTGACACAGTTCTGCTTTGTGAGTGTATTTTCTGCGAATGAGCGCAATTGCACCACTCTTGGGATTATCCCACTTTGTGCGTTTGGAAGCAAACATTCTGAGCGTATTTTCCGGGAACATTGGCATAAATACACGATAAAAAAGCGTAAGTACATGTGTATTAGGAGACATCAGAGTGCAGTTGTCAGCAAGACATTGTCCCAGTTGCAATCTCCATTTTAGATATCTGAAGATATATCATATATCATCTACTGCAGATAAGGTGTTTTTTTCTACTCAATTGAGTGGAGTTTATCCAAGTTTGTGCAGTATGAAACCCGATTTTTCGGGCTCAATGCGCCGCTGAAAACATCTCCTGATTCTTGGAGTTCCTCAAGCAGAAAAATGAAAGGTGCTAAGCTATGAGATTCAATGTCTTGGATCTTTCCGACATCAATATTATCCGCCGACCCCGGCCTTGGCCAAGGCAGGGGCGGCGCCTGGGACCACCGCAGGTGTGGAACTTCTCCTTCTTAGCTTGCCAAGGTCAAACGCATCTCACAGCCAGCAAGCTGCCCCAAGGCCACATCGCGTAAACATTCTCCTGGCATGCTTCATCCTCCAGTTCAGACTTCCCCTTTACCTTGCGAAGACTACGTCTTACGCACGGGAGGCAAGACACACCATCCCCAAAATATGAAAACAACATTCCATGAACAGCCACGGAAGTCCCTGATATCAATACATTCGATTCATTGTCCCACAATCTATGTTTACGCTACGTAGACCTTCAAAAACTCTATAATATTTGCACGTTTGGACTACTGCACATGTGGGCCGTTTTGACCTTTCCCCGCCGCTCCGCCCTGACAAGGGGGTCGGCGGCACCACTTTGGTGCCAACTCGAAGTTATAAGTGGGTTATAACCTAGGGTTATATCCCAGTTACTAAGTCATAACTTCTTAGCTAACTTTTTGTAACTTTTTTTTTGCTATAAAAAAAGTGTCTTGAAAAGTGATCAAATTTTGATCTTTTTGATGATTTTGAGTGTTTGCTGTTTGAAGCGTTTTTAACTGCTAAAAAAAATGCCAAATGGAGCGGTTTTCAAACCGCTAAAAGCCATTTTTGTTGGAACAGCCGTTTTCAGCATGTCAAATGCCCCGGCCGATGTGCCGCTTTTGCCGACCAGGCCAGGTTTGTTGTCTTTCACGAGTGAACAATTCAAAGTGATTTGGTTGAAATGGATGTCCTTGCATGCAGGGAATCTCGTCCTCTCGATGAGCTCAAGTTCGTGCTGGTGAAGTGCGAGTGGGTCTTGGAGAGCGGTCTTTTGAAGTGGAGAAGCCACAGCATTACTGGCAAGGTGAAAGAGTGACTTGGCACGATTTTGCACGTGCAACTTATATTTGGCAATGTTCTCTTCAGCATGCAACCTCAAGATCATGATTGCGAGGCGAAATTTCGATGAGCTGGTTCAGCAGTGGCCTGTGAATGACGATGAGGTGGAGATGATCCGTCGTCATCTCTTGCAGCTTGTGACAGAGAACGGCCAGACGTAATAGATGACCTGCATTTGTTCAAAATGAAGATTATACGTTGCTGGATGCGGGAACTAAAAATAATATGCCGCTGTGGAAAAAGGGCATGGAAGCGGTGGCATGCCGCTGCATGAAGCGGTTTCAACCGCTGAGTTGCAGGGGAGCGGTGTCAACCGCTGACTGAGCATGGAAGCGGTTTCAACCGCTGAGTTGCATGGGAGCGGTGTCAACCGCTGACTCAACATGGAAGCGGTTTCAACCGCTGAGTTGCATGGGAGCGGTGCATGTGATCTCTTTGAATTGTTTAACTCGCCCTACCGGAACCTCCTCGAAGAGGTCACACCGTTGGCCGGGTGTGGGGCTGGAACCTTGCCTTGGGGCCAACGCACCACCTGTAGCAATAAAGCAGGTGGTGTATGAGAGCAGGATGCATGGGCTAACGTGCCTGCTCGGGCAAACCCGGATACGAAACTTGGAGCATTGCTGCATGGGTACCCGCGGCAATGCTTCCATTTTTCAGAACCGGGGGTTCTGAGAACGGGAGGCCATGACGACACATGGAAGCGGTCTCAACCGCTGAGTTGCATGGGAGCGGTTGCAACCGCTGACTGAACATGGAAACGGTTTCAACCGCTCAGTTGCATGGGTGCGGTGTCAACCGCTGACTCAACATGGAAGCGGTATATGCATCAACCGCTGAGTTGCATGGGAGCGGTGTCAACCGCTGACTCAACATGGAAGCGGTACATCAACCGCTGAGTTGCATGGGAGCGGTGTCAACCGCTGGATTGTTTCGGCGGTGACGCAATCGCTTTGCATATATATAGCGTGAAAATGAATCTATGGACAGTTTTTGTGCCTCAAGGGCTGTATAGAACTTTCAGTTGCCATGACTTCTTTCGTGAGGCAATTGCAGGCCACTGATAAATTTCTTGGCCAAATTGCGTGTTTGTCAACTGCTGCAGATGTGCAGCGGCAAAGGGTGAAGATCTTGGTTGACATCATTCCGCATCGGGGCCCATGGACTTCTGATGCATGCTCTTTTGCTTGTGAAGCGGTCAACTCCTGCCAGAATCTCACGAAGGAGAACAAGGAGGCCTTGCTTCAGAGCATTATTTGTCAGCGTGTTGACGATGAGATCGAAGCCGGCAGCAGGGTCAAGTTGCAAGATTACACCAATGTTGTGAACATGCTGCCTCAAGACCTTTCAGGCCTTTTGATGGAAGAGACCATGCCCATCGAGGACAAACTGCTTCGTCTTTGCCACCATTGTCACTCACTAGGATTACTTTATCCTTCCGAGAAGACATGCTCAGTGTTGACCTGCTTGGTCTATTGGTGTCACTGGCAGCATTGCATGCCAGATGTGAAACACAAGAACTGGTACTTGAACCAGACCAAGCCTATGATCAAGCAGTACCTCCAGCATTGCCAAAATATATCTTCTTTGTCACCAGAGAGGCAGCTTCGTCTCTTGCCCATGAAAGTGGATGACTTGCCCATGCATTCCAAGCAATTGATTGAGCAATGCGGGCCGCTTGTTGCAGTCAGTCTGCATTGCAAAACGACCTGCGAAGACATGCCGACCAGAGTGACCAAAAGGGGGGTAAGGTTCAATACCTGCTTAGTGAAACCATTGCCTCCACCACGCGGGAATTCCGTACAAGCCCAGCACGCTTTGGCATTGGACATGGATGCGGCATTGAATGTTGAAGCGGCGGTGACCCGGCCAGCTGCTCTGCTTGACAAGGAGAAAGGTGCTCTCGAGAAAGAGGTGACCATGGCATCTGATCCGCTGCCACTGAAGGATAGGATTTCAGCTCAGTTGGTGCAAGAGCAGAAAAGCTTGGTTGGACGCTGCCCGAATCTTGTTATGTCAAAACCAAAGAATGGGAAAGCGAGTGTTTTCGAAACTTTAGCCAACCTGAAGTTGAAGCTGCAATCCAAGAAGGAAGGAACAGAGATTCCTAAGCCTGAGCAAGAGAAGATCCCTCAGAAGCCTGCACATGTTGCCAAGGCCAAGCCAGGGCCGAAGGCAAGTTCGAAGAAAGCGAAACAGATGGAAACATCTGATGAGCCTGTGGAAAAGCACACCACCGAGAAGTCCCGTTCAAAGAAAGCAGCCATCTCAAAAAAAGTGGAAGAGCAGGAGTTGCAACCTGTTGTCGTCGATCTGAAGCACAAGAATGACAAATTGGCACCGAAGAAATCTGCCAAGCAGAAGTCTCCCAATAAGGTGGCCAAGCCTTCTCCCAAGAAGAAAGTGCAGAAGCGTAGAGAGCCGAAGCCTTTGCCCGAATGGTGGAATTGCAAAGACAAGCTTCTCGCCAGGTTTCCGCAGGACACACCAAAGCGCTTTTCTTCTCGATGTTACCACCACATCGTGCAAAATGAGGTCTTGAAGGGTGTCATGCACGAGATGGCGAAGCTTGCAGGGCAAAGAGCCCACGCGGAAGCACTTATTCGTTGGAGCAAGATGTTTCCAGCGTAGGTGCTGCTGTTGCAACAGCTCTGGGAAAACATGATGGCTGAATTTGTATATGTTTGCGTTTTGTGAAACGTAGGTTGCAATTCGTCGATGAGGTTTTAAACCTCATGCATGATGTCGCATTTTGCATGCGGTGAAAACCTTGCGATATTCATCTTCGAAGCGGTTTCAACCGCTGACAGAACACGGAAGCGGTCTCATCCGCTGAGTTGCATGGGAGCGGTGTCAACCGCTGACTGAACATGGAAGTGGTCTCAACCGCTGAGTTGCATGGGAGCGGTTTCAACCGCTGACTGAACATGGAAGTGGTCTCAACCGCTGAGTTGCATGGGAGCGGTTTCAACCGCTGACTGAACGTGGAAGTGGTCTCAAGAAGGGGAGTTGCAGGGGAGCGGTTTCAACAGCTGGACTCAACATGGAAGCGGTATATCAACCGCTGCGTTGCATGGTTGCGGTGTCAACCGCTCACTGCACATCATGGAAGCGGTCTCAACCGCTGAGTTGCATGCAATTGCTGACTGGACACGGAAGCGGTTTCAACCGCTTAGTATACCGCTGAGTTGATCTCTTTTTGGGGAGCGGATCAGCCGCTGTATAAATTTTCCAAATCTGATCGTATATTCCTCTGCAGACTTTTGGGGGCAGCCAAGAACTCAGAGAGATAAGAAAAGACGGAAGCCATGGCAGCTAATGGACAAGTCTTTCAAGATGCGCAGAGTCAGGAGGAGACCCAGGTCTATGACAGTGACCCGATGGATGTCGAAAAGGTAAATGAGGAGGAAGTGCCGCTGACGCAGGCTGATGGTGCAAATGATGAGCCTGAGGAGGAGACGCAGAACCATGACTCTGTTGTGCAGGTTCCTGCAAGCGAAGCTGAGGAGGTTTGTGCGAGCCCGGCTAAGGAGAACGAACCCGAAGCCTCGAAGCAGCTGGTGCAGCCAGACCCCTCGCGAGGCTTCAGGCCACTTCCTGCAGGGGCAGCATCGGTGGAGGGCATTGGTTGGAAGGACCTTCGCGAGATGGGCCAAGGTGCCGACCAGTACTGCAGCACTTGCAGAGCTCATGTGGACCCTGCTCCAGAGAAGCGGGTTTTCAAGAAGGGCCACCACCAGTGGCAATGCAGGACGTGCCACAACGTGACCACTTTGCTGTACAAGAGGATGGATATGAAAAATCTCCAAGGATGGAAGGACCTCAGCGAAGCTCAGGTGCAGCGCTTCTACCAGGAAGCTGGGAAATGTCTTGCCTTGGGGCAGCGGTCATGCTTTGGTAAGATCCAGGGCTGCCTCATCGACAGCGTCACCCAAAGCGAAGTGCACCGTCAAGAAACCAATGTCAAAGGAGAATTTCTCCCATTGAGTGTGTGGGCGTCCAAAGGTTACAACACAGAGGCCATAGAGGCCAAAGCTGAGAAGCGCAAGAGCGACATGTTTGGATGGGTCTACCGCGTCAATGTGCTGTCAATTAACTACTCCCACATTGAAGAAGAGTGTCGCCAGCGTGTGCTGCAAGCGACCCGCAAAGTGGGACGCTTCTTGTCTTTATATACATATATATATAATTATATATATTATATATATAATTATATATATAGCAGCGGTTTCAACCGCTTTAATTTGTTTTCGTATACCGCTATATACATTGAAGCGGTATCAACCACTGAGTTGCATGGAAGCGGTTTTATAATCGCTCACTGAACATGGAATGGGTTTCAAACGCTGAGTTCGCTGACTGAACATGGAAGCGGTGCAATGTCTAAACCGCTATATGTCGTTTGCCACTGTCAACCGCTTGGGTTCTGAACTGGAGGGCATAAATATATCCATCTCAGGACAGTCGAAACCCGCTGGCAAGGCCAAGGGCAAAGGCAAGAACATTGCGGATGGTGCAGCTGCTGCCGGCAATGGAGAGCAGAGCGGTGCCACACCGCAGGCCCTCGAGGACGTGATGATGATCGATTCGGACTGGGATTCCATTTCCAGTTCCGGTGAGCAGCCTGCTCGCCTTGGGGAGGAAGCAAGGCCAAGCCTTCCAAGTCCAAGGCTGCTAAGCCGAAGGTGAAGGTGACGGCCGAAGAGAAGAAGGAAGCTCGCACGGCCAACAACCCTCACCTTGGCAATGTGAGGAAGGCTTTGCGTCTCTTGGAGCCGGTCATCAAGGACTGCAAGTCGATCCTCAAGTGCACCAGCTGTCCCGAGGATTTGAAGGAGGAGCTGCAAGCTGCTCAGCAGATCGTCAAAGATGCCACCAAGTTCAAGTCTGCTGCACAGGTCGCTGGCCAGCAGGGCAAAGTCCTGGATCCCTGGACCTATGAGAATGAGACCTGCAAGGAGCTAGCCAAGAACATCAAGAGCAAGACGGAGAGCACTCGCAGTATGGATCAGCTTCTCAGCAAGATGGATGACACTGCCTTGGCGAATCTGAAGAAGGCGGCCGAGGAACGCCTGTCAGCAACTGACGTGGAATAGGTCTTAGATCTTTCTTGCTTTTGTTTAATTAGCAGCTTTGGTGTTTTTTGACACCGGCTGCACATGTGCATCATAGATGCTTCAAGACCGGTGGGGTCTAGACCGGCAGATCGTCAAGCTGTTGACTCCGCTGTATGCTGTGAAAAACCTGAGAAACACCACTTGGCGGCGGTGCAACCGCGATACAACTTTCCTGCATGGTAGCGGTCTCAACCGCTTAGTATATATGGGAGCGGTTTCAACCGCTGACTGCAGTTCCTTATACATGGTAGCGGTCTGAGCCGCTCAGTTACGTGGGGCGGCATCAGTCGCTGACGAAACACTTTTCTATACATGGTAGCGGTCTCAACCGCTGAGTTGCATGGGAGCGGCATCAGCCGCTGACTAAACACTTTCCTATACATGGAAGCGGTCTCAACCGCTGAGTTTCATGGGAGCGGCATCAGCCGCTGACTGTCCTTATACATGGTAGCGGTCTCAACCGCTGAGTTGCATGGGAGCGGCATCAGCCGCTGTGTCAACAATATTTTTTAGAGGAAACAAACTGACTAAAAAACATAAACTGAAATTTTGTTTAGTGTACCGCTTTTCAAAACAAGTTTTGCTTTGCATTTGATACAAGGAAGCGGTATTAATCGCTGAGTTTCCCTGTTTGTCTGATCTGTCTACTGCGTTTGGGAACTGCCGTTAAAGAACTCAATATAGATATATGAGATTATAATTTATAAATATGTCGACATGTTTAGGCTCAACATGAGCAATGCAACCAATGTTTTCATGGAAAGGTGACTGAAAAAGAAACTATATGTTGTAGATCCCTGAGCATGCCACACAGTCAGGGTGAAATGTCCACTTCACTTTACAAATAAACGGGGAGTGAACAACAAGATTGCCTCAATGCTTTCAGGCATGGCATGGTTTTTCAACCAGAAGTCTACATATCTTTAAAAAAACATCACAACACCTCTGCCCAACGGCGCCATGGAACCAAGGGAGCCGGGTGATCCAGCTGACGGGAGTGAGACAGAGAAGTCTCTTGCAGCATTATTTTTTTTTACTTTGTCCTGGAGAAATGGTTTAGCATTGAAGAGCGGTTGTCACCGCTACATTGAAGCGGTTGTCACCGCTCCATTGAAACCTATAAACCGCCATCCACAAACATATATCCAGAGTTTTGTGATGCCCTTACCCAAGTATTTAAAAAACAATTTACAAACCCTAAATGTATTTGATTTCATCTTGGGCATTTTTTTCTTGCTCTTCGCTATGAAGTGCAAACGGTAGTGACAAACTGAAATGCATTACATGCTGAAAAACAAAAACATAATTCTCGTAGATCTCAGTGCTGTTGGGTTTTAATTGGAATGCATTTCAGATTGAACACAAGAAGAAACATATTCATTGAAGTCTCATAGATCTCAGTGCTGTCAGCCTTAAATTGAAATGCACTTCAAATTGAACAATGCGATGCAACGCAATGCAATGCAATGCAATGCAAAGCAATCTCAGACTAAACACAAGAAAAAAAATCATTGAACTCTCATAGATCTCAGTGCTGTCAGCTTTAAATTAAAACGCGCTTCAGACAGAACAATGTAATGCAATGCAACGCAAGGCAATGCAAAGCAATCTTGATATTGACATTGAAAAAAAAACTTTAATTGCACCATCATGTGAAAACAAAATCCCTGATCCAAACCTGTAAAGGCGTTTGTGCTATACTGGTGGTATGCCACCAGTATACCACCAGTATACCACCAGTATACCACCAGTATACCATGGTATACGGCCAGTATACCATGGTATACTGGCCGTATACCATGGTATACTGGCCGTATACCATGGTATACTGGCCGTATTCCATGGTATACTGGCCGTATACCATGGTATACTGGTGGTATACTGGTGGTATACTGGTGGTATACTGGTGGTATACCGGTGGTATACTGGTGGTATACTTGTTTAGTTTTTTTTTAATCAACTGCATTTTTCCCTATGCATCTTTAGATTTATCAGACTCTGGCTTCAAAATTAATTTGGCAAACTTGCGGTTTTAACAGTTTAAAAACAGTTGGCACATTCCCTCATTTGTAGTTGAGGTGATCTGTCAAGTTTAGAAACCTAATCTATGAGAACCTGATTGAATCCAAAAGTTTTTGCCATATAATTTTGCAAGGCATTAGTTTGTGAAGCCTGCTGGACTTCAACTCTGTTTGAACTTTGCAAGTCGTCCGGTTGGGACTTACTTCGAAAGGATGAGATTGCCCAAAATCATTGACTTACAGATCTCAATGAATTCACAGTCCTGACAACATGACTTAAAAAATACAACGTCAAAAAATTGTAGCATTGTAAACTCAACTATTTCATCAGACTATTCTTATATGCAGCTTTCACCATCTCTGCAATCACAAACAATCTCAATAGATTGAAACTTGAAAACATCTAAAGAAAAAATACGACGTCAAGATATCCAAAAACCTGTGAAATTGCAAAGCACAATCCCATTGGCAATTCATGGCTATAGGAAAAAAAAACACACTCAAAAGTCAGCCCAACACTGGCACAGAAGCAAAAACATGTAGCGGTTTCAACCGCTCCATGGCTGATAGGGGTATGCATGCTCCACGAAGTGTAGCGGTTTCGACCTCTCCAAATGGCATTCTACCACTTGTAGCGGTTTAAACCGCTTCAATCAGTGTATAGTGAAATAACATATGATGTAAATAACTATAGATAAACATTTCTGTTAAATATATTTTTGGCAGATGTACACATTAACAAGGTCATGTGCTCCTGACCAAGAACAACATTGGGAAGAGGTGAAGCTGGAGGAGGAGGAGATGAAGGTGGAACAGTATGATGATGAGGAGTACGACCCTTGGGATGAATCCTGGTGGCACGACACCGAAGAGGAGGTGGCAGAAGAGCCTGCAGTAGACATCGAAGAGGAGGTGGCAGAAGAGCCTGCAGTATACCAGGCGTGATCTATAGGCGTTTCGAACATACATCATTCAAAACTAAACATGGCTATATGGCTATATGTATATATTCCTATAGTGGGCATGCTCACGCAGTACATTCGCGTCTTCAAAAAAATGTAATATAGATCTTTAACGGCAGGTCCCAGCGTTTGCAACAACCGCAACAAAACAACACAACACAACAACGACAACAACAACAACAACAACAACAGCAACAAAGGGAACAGCATCACATTCAGTATGTAGAAAGCAGAGAAAATTCACTCCTCAATTTTGAACATGGATCCTGAGGGTTATTTTTTTTTCGCAATTCTTCTCTTTCAAGCTAGCAAACACAACCACCAGCATGACGCCAAAAGGATTTAAGAATTAGCGATCCCCAGGTCAAACACATTGTAGCGGTTGCAACCGCTTGGTGCGCTGCTTTCCCTTGGAGCGGTCTTCATGATGCTATGTAGATTGAAGCGGTTTCAACCGCTGAGTTGCATGGAAGCGGTGTCAACCGCTCACTACACATCATGGAAGCGGTGTCAAATGCTCATTATATATATATATATGGATATATGGAAGTGGTTTCAACCGCTGATCACGACGAACATGGAAGCGGTCTCGACCGCTCACTTTCATGGGAGCGGTTTCAACCGCTGACTACACATTGAAGCGGTCTCGGCCGCTGAGTTGCATGGAAGCGGTTTCAACCGCTAAAGGAGCATTGGAGCGGTAACCCGCTATAGACATATATATCCTTGCAGGGGACCTCGAAGGCTGCCAGCAAAGCTGTCCCAGTGGAGAACATATCCTTGCAGGCGACCACCTCGAAGGCGGCCACCAAAGCTGTCCCAGTGCCACTGGTGCCTAGCTGGACGGTTCCGCCACCGTGGGCCGGGGCCGATTCGTCGAGCTCTTCGGGCGTCCCAGCTCATCGACGAGACGGTGGGGGACATGGAGACGGAGGGGATCGAGGAGTTCCGGGAGATGGGGGAGATGGAGATGGAAGGGATGGAGGAGATCCCCGTGATGGGGGAGATGCATCTGGAGATGCCGGAGGTGACGGAGATGGAGGAGCAGATGCAGGGGCCGCCTCTCGCCCATGGAGAGGAAAGGAAGGCTCCTCAAGGCAGCAGTGGGCGAACCAGCGCGGTGGATGGCGCAAGAAGCGTGGAGGTCTGAACAGAGGCTGGTATGAAGCCCACTATTGGCAAGACCATGGCCCTGAGCACTCATGGTATAGCCGCCCGGAGAACCGTGGCTGAGGTGTTGGTGCTGAAAAAGCGCTGCTGCTTCATTGTAGCGGTGTCAACCGCTGACTGAACATGGAAGCGGTCTCAACCGCTGAGTTGCATGGGAGCGGTGATATCATATAACCGCTGACTGAACATGGAAGCGGTCTGAACCGCTGAGTTGCATGGGAGCGGTGATATCATATAACTGCTGACTGAACATGGAAGCGGTCTCAACCGCTGAGTTGCATGGGAGCGGTGTTATCATATAACCGCTGACTGAACATGGAAGCGGTCTCAACCGCTGAGTTGCATGGTAGCGGTTTCAACCGCTGACTGCAGATGGAAGCTGTCTCAACCGCTGAGTTCCATGGAAGCGGTCTCAACCGCTGACTCAACATGGAAGCGGTGTCAACCGCTGATTTGCATGGAAGCGGCATTAGCCGCTTGGTGAAGACTTGCCTGCATGGAAGCGGTGTCAACCGCTGCAGTGTCATATTTGGGAGCGGTGTGAAGCGTTAAATAAACAAATTCCTGCTTGGAAGCGGTCTCAACCGCTGTATGTAAATTTAAGTATATACTCATAGTGTTCCATAGAAAGGTCTGGGTGCGAAGCGGTTTCAACCGCTTATATTTGATGAACTCAATAAATTCTTTGCTCTTCGAAGCGGCTGAGCAACTGAAGCCCGTGATATTTTCCACCTAGCCATGTCGATGGAGTATTGCGTGGTTGTTGATGAGAGGCTAGAGGATTTTGACCCCGAGGGAAAGAGCTTCCAGCGCCTGGGCAACTCTCAGACGGCCAAGATAAGCTTCGGCGGCAAATCCATTGTTCTGACCAGTGGGCTGGCATGGTGGTCCTACAAGTGCGAGGTGCCTTGGACTGGCTTCCCTGGAAGTTGTGGCATATGGGCCTGCAACCATCCCAATGAGCATACTCCAGACCGCATCTATGTGCGCATGGCTGACATGGATGAGATTCCAGTGACAAAAGTTCTGTTGGCATCGTACAGCAAGATTGGTGCTTATTGGTGTGTTTCGTTGCACTATGCAACAACGAACCAACTGTGGCTGCAGCTCAGGGCACCACTGAAGCAGACTTGGAAAGACTTCCTCCTCAGCTCGGTGTGGGAACGATTTCAGAAGGATGTCAAGGAAAACGTCAGCAATCAGTGCTTGTTTCGAATTCTGCTGGGCAACAATATCTTGACTGCTGAAGATCGGCGCACTATGGAGGAGATCTTCGTGCAGCAGATCTTTGTGAGTGTGGTGAACGGAGCTAGCGAGCAAAATGAGGATGGGAACCAGATGGGTGCAGCGTGGGAACCTGCAGAGGCTGAGAATGGCGAGGATGGCAAAGTCAAGGAGAACACGAAGGCCACAGTGAACCTGAAGAATGTTAAGAAGGTTAACGGCCACAAATCTGACTGAAGAAGACCTTAAGAAGATGATTTTTTGAGCATTGCGGCTGTATTCCATTGTAGCGGTCGCAACCGCTGTGTTTAACGGTCGCAACATATATCGGCTGTCTTCCAATGTAGCGGTGGCAACCGCTGTGTTCCAGTGTAACTGTATCGGTATATATATAACTGCTTGGTGAAGAAGCATTAGACAGGTGCCGAAGAAAGCGGCGACGCTGCAGAAGGCGACCAAGGCGAAGAAGGGGGCAAAGCAGCCGAAGCCGGCGGCGGCGCAGAAAGAACCAACCGCTGCGCTGAAAAGGCCGTCTGCGGCGAAGAGCCCGGCTAAACCGCTGAAGAAGCCGGCTGCGGCGCAGCGCCGCCGCTGAAGACTTTTGCTGTCTGCAGGACTTTTTGATCCATAGCCACCAGAAGACTTTTTGATCCATATCGAAGAGCTGGTTTGGACGTTTATAAGTCTTGAGAGCTGGCAGAGACCTTTGAATCCAGAAAGGACAAAAAAGACCGTTCAACCGCTTTAGGTCGAAGCGGTTGCAACCGCTGAGTCAGAGTTGCTGTCATTGGAGCGGTTCAACCGCTTTCCTGTTCGAAGCGGTGTCAACCGCTTTTACGTTTCCATTGTAGCGGTGGCAACCGCTGTCTTCCAATGTAGCGGTGGCAACCGCTGTCTTCCAATGTCGCGGTGGCAACCGCTGTGTTTCATTGTAGCGGTGGCGACCGCTTTGAATTCTTGCTTTCATTGGAGCGGCTCAACCGCTTTCCTGTTCGGAGCGGTGTCTAGACTGTTTCATGCTTCCATGGAGCGGTGCTAACCGCTTTCATGCGTCCATTGTAGCGGTATATAGCAACCGCTTTCTTGCATTGTAGCGGTGTCAACCGCTGAGTGCTTGAAGCGGAGTCAGCCGCTTTCATGCTTATTTTGGAACATGGTTTCTTTCTCTCCATATCATTTTTTTTTTGCGGTGTGCTAAATATCTATAAATTCATTTCCAGAGCTGTTTAAGCTCCCAATACCTTTATGTCAAAACGCAGGAGGCCAGCTGTAGACGACTTGTTGCAATGCTATGGTGTCAAAGGTGTTTCTGATGCAGGCGTTCGAAGAGTTGTAGCTAAACTTCGCAAAGAGCCTCAACTTGCAAATGAATCAAGCCCATACTTGAAGCAACGCTTTGCGGGCTTGGACAAAGCATTGCTGGAAGACACAGAACATGGAATTTGCATTTTGCAACTGCAAGTCTACATAGACCTTCTTTGCCGAGATGCACAGGTGGCCCGCTTTTTCGCGACCACTATAGTGGAGGAACAGATTAAAGAAGGATCTGTTTCTGCTTGCTTTTATCTCGATGAAATTGTTCCAGGCAATATCATTGCTCCAGACAATCGACGTCGTTCTTGGTGTTTCTATTTTGCCTGGCTGACACATGTGAAATTGCGGAAAGAAATCCTCTGGATACCTTTGGCCATTCTCAGAACTGAACTATTGGAGCAAGTTCCGGGTGGATTACCGCAGGTCATGACTCATATACTCCGGCAATGCTTGCCATTTTTTCGCGGTCTGGTTATTGGTGATCGGCTGGTCATCACTTCCAAACTATACTTGCTGGGAGATGAAGATGCCCTGAAAAAATGTTTGGCGCACAAAGGCGCCAGCGGTTTGCGGCCTTGCATCCGCTGCAGCAATTGCATTTCAAAAGGGTCCTCTGTCGAAGGCTATCACAGTATAGATCATGACAATTTCGATGACTTCGAAGATGTTGAAGACCAAGAAGTCCTGGAAATCTTACAACATTTGTGCCACGTCGAAGAAACAAGCACCAAAACAAAACTTCAGGAAGCAGAGAAACTCAGCGGATGGAAGCGCAATGCCTCTGTCTTTGTGCTGGATCCTGAACTTGCAGCCATCATGCCGCCGAATCTATTTGTTTACGATGCGATGCATGTGCTTTGGGGAAATGGTATAGCCAATCAAGAGATTGGACTCTTTTGGCAAGCTGCAACGAGTCATGGTGCGACAAATGCTGACTTAGTGGCTTTCCTCAATGCAAATTGGGAACCTGCATCTTTGCATTATAGGCTAAAATGCCTGGCAGGACCCAGATTATTGAAAACAGATGGAAGCGATTACAAAGGATCTTGCACGCAGACCTTGGAGTTCCTTGTGCTTTTAACATACTTTGCAAATGAGATGCTTGCTGAAATAGAGTGCCTTTCTTTGCATATAGCATCTTTGACAGCCTTGGCGTCGCTTTGTAGCAAAGTTTTGGACGCCAAAGTCAACCCGAACGAAGTTGCTGGATTGCAAGATCTCCAATCTCATCATCTGAGATGCTTCAAAGCTTGCTATGGCGAAGAGTTGTGCCGACCAAAGCATCATTATGGCTGCCACCTTGAGCCACAATGCGAGAAGTCTGGCTGTTTGATGGACACGTTTCCCACAGAAAGGAAACACAAAGTGTTCAAACAAGACTTGGCGCCAAGGATTGCCCGACTCCAGGGCTTCGAGCGCAGCATCTTGATCAGATGGATCGAGCATGATTTGCAGGCCATTCAAGATGCAAAGCTCATGGCGGTGGAGCTGCAACAACCTTATAAGCATCAGCCTTGTGATGCTTTGAAATTTGGCAGGCGAATTGAATGCCAGCACAACTCGTATAAAATCAATGACCTCCTCATGTTCAAGGATGATCAGATGTATACTGTATACCTGATCGTCCTTTGCTTTGCTTCTAACAAAGAGTTGGGGCTCATCGTGCAACGCATGCAAGCGCAAAGCTCTCACCATGACCCACTCTGGCTGTGCAGCACATGGATCTTGCTAGACGAAATGGAGGTGATGGACTTGGAAGAAGCAGGATCGCATATCCGCACGACCTTTCACAGCTGGAGTGAGGACAAGTCAGCGGTTGTGATCTTGCGGTGAAAAAATGCTGTGTGACTCCAAAAGCATGCAAGCTGGAAGCGGTGTCTATAAAACCGCTGCATTGAAGCGGTATGATCGCTGAAACAATCCGCCATGCCATGACACGGTTGTAACCGCTTATGAAGCGGTTCTAATCGCTGAAACAATCCGCTGAGTTGCATGGGAGCGGTTGCAACCGCTGACTGAGCATGGAAGCGGTTTCAACCGCTGAGTTGCATGGGAGCGGTGTCAGCCGCTGACTCAACATGGAAGCGGTATATCAACCGCTAAGTTGCATGGAAGCGGTTTCAACCGCTCACTGAACATGGAAACGGTTTCAACCGCTGAGTTGCATGGGAGCGGTGTCAACCGCTGACTCAACATGGAAGCGGTTCTTCTAATCGCTCACGAAAAACTTACCCATGGAAACGATGAAAACCGCGATTTTTTCTTAAAAAACAACTTCGAAGCGGCTCAACCGCTATAATTAGAAAAAATATTGTTTTCGATACACTAAAAACAAGTGTTTTTTTCAATTTTTCTAAGTTATAAAAATGTGCTAAAATTGTTGATATTTTCTTCACTTCATAACTTTTTCATAACTTCTTGTATAACTTTAGTTATAACCACTTATAACTTCGACTTGGCACCAAAGTACGATCCACTCTTTGTCTCAAGTGGTGCCGACGAATGGCGCACCTGGCTGAAACGAAGGCCATTGATCGACATGATGCTCGCTCCGTTCGGAGTCGAACCAAAAAAAAACTGCAGACGATAAGATTCTTATCGTCTGCTTTCAGGCGTTAACAAGTGCCTGCCCTGGTCAGGGTCAGACAGATTCCCGAACCACGACACACTCGAAGTTCAGTTGATTCCCAAAGTTACCAGACTCAAATTCACAAAGGGGTCCCTGGGTCACTGACGTACCACCAGATGCAGGTCGTCACCCGCTCCGCTACCAATCTGAATTGGAAACGGGATCGTTAGTGCCCAACTTTTACCACGGCAGCGCGGTATGACTCAAGGGCCCTAAAGCCAAATGTCATCGGTGACATGTGATCACTTGGCTATACAAAAATATACATTAGACAGGTCAAACTCACACATGTATACATACATACATATATATATATATGTATGTATGTATGTATGTACAATAGAAGACAGGCACTTAGAATTTAAACAATAAAAATAAAGTTTTAGAATATGGATTTATGTTGATTTTTAACATACTTGAGCCCGGGGTGAAAAGCACTTAGAATATTCAAATCCAGGGGATACACATAGAATATTTTGGTAGTATGCTGTCTTAAGGAAAAACTAGCTACATCCGACCATATATCCCAATAATTCCCAATAAATATCATTACCTCCAAGCCTCCTCTCGCTCTCTCTCTCTCTCTATCCCCGTTCCTGTTTTTTTTGGGTTTCCCCATCAATCTATGGTACTCTACTGTGCTACCGCATGAGTACCTCAATGTATGGGTTCGCAAATCTCAATGGAAAACGAACAAAACCCAATACATCAACACACAAGAACATGGTTTACAATAACAAACTCAACAGTAAACTTGTTGGTTCGGTACCTTCTTTGATGGACTATCAGTGACTATGTAGTTGTGGCCATATTCTAAGTGCATTTACTGCCCATAAGCGCACAGTTATACAGGCAAAAGCAGCAAGTGCAAAACCGGTTGGTGCTGTACCATGCGTGTTTTGCTGCAGTACCAAAAACAACTGTAAACCATGAGGTACCGTACTGAAATTGATCGGCGATCATGAACTCAACAGTTGCATTTTGTTTATGTTTTGTTGGTATTGTACGCGGCTTGTCTTGCAGTAACAAACTCAACTATATATAAACTGTTCAGTTCTGTATCTCGCTTGCTGGACAAAGTGACTCTGGCAGTTGTGTGCATATTCTAAGTGCATTTACTGCACAGAAACGCACACTTTTACACGAAAACAACTGCCAAACGGTTGGTACTCTACCGTGCGTGTTTTGCACTACCAAATGCGAGAACTGTAAACCATGCGGTGCTCTGCTGAAATTGTTGTGCAAACATGAACTCAACTGTTTCATGATTTGGTACTGTACAGTGCTTGTTTTGCAACAAAGAACTCAACTTTAAACTGGTGGAATACGCGACTCTGGCAGTTGTGGCCATATTCTAACTGCATTCACTGTCCAGAAATGCACAGTTTTACAAGCAAAAATAACAAATGCCAACCGGTTGGTACTGTACCATGCATGTGTTGCAGCACCAAATGCAACAACAGTAAACCATGTGGTGATGTACTGAGATTGTTTGCGATCATGACTCAACATTTGTAAACTTTGTAGTACTGTATCTTGCTTGTTTTGCAGTAACTCATTCAACTGTAAACTGTTCGGTTATGTACCTTTCTTGATGGACTATCAGTGACAATGTGGTTGTGACTATATTCTCAATGCATTCACTGCCCATA